GCTAGCCTCAGACACTTATTTACTGTGTGATCCTGGATGAGTCACTTAACCTCTGGCTGTCTCAGTTTCTTCATCTGTAAAATGGGTATAATCATAGTACCTGCTTCCCTGGGTTGTTGTGAGGATAAAATTGAGATTATATTTGTGAAACCCTTTGCAAACTTTAAATATAAATGCTAGCTAGCCGTTTTTATTTTCAATTAATGGAAAGTCACCTTGTCTCCCACTCACCCTCTAGCTCTTTCACAGAAACATCAGGCTTAGAGGTTAAGCCAATGTCTGCTTTGTAGCACTTTCTAATTGTTTCTCATATGTCTATCTTCTCCCCAACAACAGTATAAGAGAGGAAGTACATGGAGTTTGTTTTCAGGGTCCTCCCACCTCTATAGTCTGCTGTCTATTACATCACTCTATCCAGAACTGCCTTCACCAATCCCAACCCCACTGTATCAAAGTTCCTCTAATCTTCCTCCACTCTCCAATCAAAATTTCAGTTTTCTAATGTCAGAATCTTATAAATTCATTCACAGTAGGGTATTAAAGGCTGATGACAATAGCTACCACTCTTAGGGAGAATTTTCATTTTAAAAGAAGCTGAGAAGGAGAGAAAGAATCAGTCCATTCATCAGTAAGTGCTTAGGACATGTGTGTGACATTTCTGCCCACTTGAAGAGTGGTGCCCCGGAAGACAGCCTTGTGCTGTGCTAGCTGCATGTAGGTAAGGAGAGGACGCTTGATTGTCTGAGAGAATGTTGAGCCTAGACCTTTGGAGGTGGGGTGGGGAAGGAGATTGTAGAGGACTTCAGAGAAGATGGTGGGGAAAAGCAAGGGCAGCCTTTTGAATGGCTCTCGGGAGCCCTTGAGCAGCAGATATGTGGGGAGCCAAACCCCGACACGTCCTTTGCAACCCTAGAGGCTGCTGAGAGTGTAGTTCCCTCTCAGTGAGACCTCCCCTCTCCTGTTTTGAGCAAAGATCTCATCGCCCATTTACCCTTGTATATTCTTTGATTTCGTCTCATCTGTATGACTTCCCCATTTCCATTTATTGCTTATTTTACAAAAAAATCTGTATGAGTCATCAGTGATGGTCTTTTGTGTAATTAGGGAAAGAGCTCAGCCAGAAAGTGCAAACTAAGTGCTACCTTCCCCTTGAGAGCAATCAGTGGTGTGGATTCTGGGCTCCCCAAAGGATTATATCCTTAGATCTAATTCTAGCTGAGTACCCCTTTAGGTGAAGAGTAAGTAAAGGAATTAGCTCCCAGCTATGGCTCTCCTTCTGCTTCCTTCCCACAAAAAGGGAAATTACAGTCTTCCCTGGAGAGGGGTGACCAGATCCCAAATCAGATACCCATCCATCCCTCCTGTGAGATGTCTGTCTTTGTATTTACCTGTCCCAACCACATATATCATACTTAGATGGATAGGTACATGCAACATAGTCATAAAGAGATTTGAGGCAAAGGCACTAGCATCTAGGAGGAACAGAAAAGGCCTCAGGAAGAAGGCAGTTCTAGACCCAAGCCTTGAAGAAAACCGGGGATTCCAAGAGGCCAGGGTGAAGAGGGAGTGTACGCCAGGTACGCAGGGACAGCAAGTGCGAAGGCCAGTGAGAGGTGATGTATGAGGAACACCAAGAAAGTGAGTTTCCTATAGCAGTGGATTTTATGCACTGTGAAAGATCTATGATAGAGGTTTGTTTGTTTTTAGTGAAAGGGGGACCCCTTCATTGTCCCTCCGATTTGACATATAAGTGAACACGTATGTATCAGCTTGGTCCAGATAGTTTGCTGTGTCTTTTCTATCCCCTTCATCAGTGCCTAAAAAGCCTAGGCACACAAGATCCTTCTAATAACTGATTAATTCAATTAAATCACACCACCTGCATGACTTGGCAGCTAGGGGGTTCACAGTGGATAGAACACTGGGCCTGGACTCAGCAAGGCTTGAGTTCAAATGCAACCTCAGACACTGACTAACTTCATGACCCTGAGCAAGTTGCTTAAAAAAAAAAAACACTCTGTCTGCCTCAGTTTCCCCAGCTGTAAAATGAGGATAATAATAACATCTACCTCACAGGGTTGTTGTGAGGATCAAATGAGGTAATGCGTGTAAAGCACTTAGCATAGTGCCTGGCATATAGTAAATGCTATATAAATGTTAACTATCATCATCATTATTATTATTAAAGCATTTTGCTAAGTACCATATAAATGCTAGCTGTTATTATTATTACTACCTAAAAGCTCTCGGTATTTCTTCATCTGTAAAATGGAGAGTTCAAACTTGATGATCCCCAAAGTTTCTTAATAGCTCTAACATTCTATTAGTCTATTAAGCAAATTAAATTAAATTGAAATGAACTGCTTCAGCAATTTAAAAGTTCCACTAATTGAAGTATTTAAACAGAGGCTGCTCATTCATCTGGTAAGGAGGTTGGACTAAATGACCTCTGACACCCTTTCCAACTCCTGAGATTCTGTGATTTTATGAATTGAATTAAGTTGAATCAAATCAAATGAGGGAAGAAGGAAAGAAGAGGTCTGTCTATACTACTGGGCTCCAAATTAGACCCTCTGTCCCCTCTACCCTACAGATCTCCACCAAGAACTTAAAGGTTCAGAAACATCCACTTCCTAGAGATTCTTCCTGGTAGTACCAATCCGCTTCTTAACCCATAACTGCTCCTTAATCCCTACAAAACACGAGGCAGCAGAAAGAAGCCAGAATGGCTTCAGCAACATTTTACTATGCAGAAAAAAATCCAAATATTTATAACCTGACAGTTAGGTGGGATTTAAAACCCAGAGTGGTTCAAGGTTGGGGAAGGTAGATGGGAAAGAACACGGTTCTTTCCCGCCTAGGAAAAAATGTACCTTAGGGGGAGCTGTCCAGGCAGAGAAGAGAAGATTTTAACCACTTTCCATCATTCTCAGTAATAGGTAGTTGGAAGAGGAGCATAATCGACTTGGACTTTACCTTTTCTACTTTTGCCCCACCCCAAAGTTGCACAGGTAGATAAAAGCTTTACAAGTAGGAGTAGAAATGAGGAGGTCATGGCAAGAAGCATTGACATGACAAGGACAAGGACAACGATGGTGGTGAGGATAGGTGAGGATTACAAAGGGATTTAAGGTTTACAATGTATTTCACATACCTGATTTCATTTCATCTTCACAACAAACCAATGAGGTAAGTGCTCTAGGTATTATTATCTCCATTTTACAAATGAGTCAACTGAGGCTAGGAGAGGTTAGGTGATTTGCCCATGGTTATACAACTGGTAATTATCAGAAATGGGATTTGAATCTAACTCTCGCCCACCTCCATCCATGTCCTGTGCTCCTTCTGCTTTACCACATGGCCTCTCTGTGGATGATCCTCAAGCTGGAAAATCCATCCAGAATCAAGGAGGTTCTCTGACTGGTGCATACAGGGAGGGAATTTAAAAATAATCTGCATATAGTAGTTTTTTTTTAACTACAGGCTGTGTTTGCTGGGAGAGGGTGGTTGGCATTATCAGGGATAGAACGATGGAGCACGGACAGGCATTAGGATCAAAGTGGACCAGACGGTCACCACCACTGGGAAATTCCATTCTCTGGAAATATCCCTGTGTCTATGGAAGTCTATGAGCCCTAGCAAACTAGAAACATGGTTCCAGTGGTATGAGGTCCCCTCAGAGGTGGACAATATTGCAATTCTTGTCCAAACTGAATTCTAAAAGCTTGGCAAGTGATCTCTCTTCCACTCCTCCTGGATTTGCTGTCCTAAGTGGAACACAGATTCAAAGTCACAGTGATTGCGGAAAAGCTGCAGCAATGGCAATCAGGCAATATGGGTGCCACGCACTTCCTGTGTGGTCTTGGGCAAATCACTTAACCTCTCTGGGCTGCAGTTTCTTCACTTGTAAATGAAGATGTTGGAACAGGTGATGCCTAAAGTCTCTTCTGGCTCTAAAACTATGAGAGAGAGGAAATCATCATAGAAGAGGTGGGAGTCAGGACATCTGAATTTACTGTCCTAGTTCGGTTGCCCTAGAGCAAGATTTCCTTGCTTGGAGATTGTTAGTTATATATATACATATATATAAATATGTATATGTATAACATGTATACATTATATATGTGTATATATAATATGTGTATATTATACATTAATATGTGTGCATATATAATATATTTAATATAATTATATATATCTGTATTTCAATAATTGATTTCCTTTCTAATCCTGTGCATTTTATGCATTTAAAAACATTATTCAAAGGGAGGATCTGAATCCAGGTCTTCCTGACTCGAAGTCCAGTGCTCTCTCCCTCTCTCTCTTTCTTCCTCTCCTCCCTCCTCCTTTCCTTCTCTCTCTCTCTCTCTCTCCTTTTCCTTTTTCCTTCCCTCTGCTACTTTGTAGCTGTATGACCTTAGACAAGTCACTTCATCTTCAGACCTTGGTTTCCTGATTGGCAAATTAAAAAGGGAGGATGGATAGTTCCTTGCATGTTGTCTCCCGTTAGATTGTAAGCGCCTTGAGGGCAGGACCTATTTTTTTCCCTTTCTGTGTATCTCAGCACTTAGCACGGTGATTGGCACATAATCAGTGCTTAATAAAAGCTTGTTGACTTTAAAAAGGGGAGGGGGTTGGACTAGATCAGGGGCTCACAACCTGGTCCGTGGATAGATATTAGGGGGTCCATTTTATTGGGTGGGAAAAATTACATCTTCATTTCAATATAATTGGCTTTCTTTGTAATCCTATGTATTTTATTTTACTTATTTAAACACGTTCTTCTGGGTAGCAGTCCACAGGCTTCATCAGACTGTCTAAGGGGTCCATGACCCAAAAAAAGATGAAGAAGTCTTGGATTAGCTGATGGTATGGGCCCGTCCAGCTCCAATCCTGTGATCCTATGAGGTCACTGTATGCTGTGGGGTGTAAGAATTCCTTTGGCCCCATCTCTAATCTCTGACCTTTTTATCCCTCCATCCTCTACTCAAACCCCACTCTCCTCATTTCTTCTCATCAGACAAGTTACCCCATCTCTGGATTCTTCTCCACAGCTCCAGGTGGGATAAGAGGAGAGCCAAAGGGTAACGATGACCTTTGGCAGGGAGGAGATCCCAGAAGCCGAGGACTGGGGTATTCTAGTACGGATCACACAATTTACTTTTGTTATTTTTATTTACTTATTTAATAAGCAGCAATTGTGCATGGACAGGTGGTGGGGAGGGCAACAAGTAGAGAAGAGGAGAGGATGAGGATGGGGAAGTTATAGGTGTGAGGTAAAGGCTGGGAGGGAAGGCCGGAGGCCCCCAGCTGGCATGACCCCTTCTGCCCCCAGCAGTAGTTCTCCCTCAGTGGGGTGGGCCTGAGGCCCTCCCAGACGGCCACTCTCAGGCCCTACGAAATGGTCGCCCTCTAACATGGGGACGCCTGGCTGCTGACAGGAGACCAGGGTCACTGAGGGGAAACTGTATGCCTCCAGCACTGGGGGGTGGGCCCCCCCAGAGGCTTCCAAGACAAGATCCACATCAGAGAAGGCGACCAGGGCCTGGGTGGAATCACAGGAGCTCTTCTCCAGCTCATCTGCAGCTCCATAAGCCAGAGGGGCAGGGAGCCCTCCCTGGGGGCGCAGGCGCCGCAGGTCCTCCCTGAAGTGGGGGTTGAAGAGCAGGTAGAGGAGGGGGTTGAGGCAGGCGGGCAGGGGCAGCACCACGAGCAGGACAGACTTGACCGCCTCCGGGGTGACCGGGAAGAGGCTGAGCATGGAGGCAAAGCTGAGGAAGGCCACGGGACAGTAGAGGAGCCCGTCGGCAAAGATGAGCCAGGCGATGTGCCGCACCATGGTGCAGTCCCACACGGCGTCAAAGTAGTCCCCCCGGGGCAGGTCGCAGTACAGCTTGATGTAGGCACCCGTGATGACGAGGAAGCAGAGGGAGTTCATCATGACCAAGGCCACAGAGAAGCCCAGGGCTGCTGGACGGCCCTCAGGAGGGGTGTAGGGCAGGCAAAGCGGGGAGGCCCCATATTCACCCACCGAGGCCAGAGGCAAGGCTGCCGCCAGCCCTGCCAGGACTAAGCAACCCAGGGCACTGGCTCGGACGCTGCCCAGCGAGGGGGATTTCCCATACACTCGGGCACAGGAAATGGAGATGCTGCACTGGACAGCAGCCAGAGTGAGCAGCAGCACAGAGGCCTCAGAGGCAAAGACGGCCAGGAAGCCTGTGGCCCGGCAGCCCAGGCCCGTCTCCCACCGGGCCCCATACTGGGCAAAGTGGCCAAAGGTCAGAGTGTCCACGCAGGCCAGGAGGCCACAGGAAATGCCCGTCAGGGTGTTGGCACCAGCGATGGCTCCCACCACAAACTTGACAGGGGACAGGGGGGCAGGCCCCCCTGCGAAGATGGCCAGAAGGACCAATCCATTGCACAACACGGAGAGCAGGACAATGGCCCACACAGCCAGGCGGATCCCCCAGCTCTCCAACAGGTGTTCACACGGCTTGAAGGGACCTGTGGGGAAAATCAAGCAAGCAGTCAACCTCTAGACCTGAACCCCATTATGCAGTCATTCAGTCATTCAACAAGCATTTATTAAGCACTTACTGCATGCTTAAGGCAGTCATTTAGTAGCAATAACTCCCAAGTACAACTCCCCTCTTTCTGTAGATGTGCAGGGTCCTGGGGATAGGAGTGGGGGTGGGCAACGCTGAAGAAGAAGCTCCCAATATGATAGAAGAGAAACAATCCCTGCCCCCAGGGAGTTCCCAGTCTAAACTGGGAGAGACCCAGGTCCTTCCCTCCTAGTCTTCAGGGAAGAGAGAGAAGTCAGTCTCTGCCCTCAGGGACACCTAAGACCTAGGATCAGAGATCTGGAATTGGAAGGTACCTTAGATGTCAATCTAGTCCATCCTCAAAATGAGGTTCTGTGAGATTAAATGACTCGCCCAAGGACACAAGGGTGTTCAGAGGCAGGATTTGAATCCAGGTCCTCTCCCTCCAAATATAGCATTGCATTTCATCCTGTACATCAGCATAAAATTAGACAATATCTGTAAAGCACTTAGTCCAGAGCCTGGCACACAGTAGGCACTATATAAATGTAGCTATCATCATCAATCATCATTACTTCCAAGGCCTCTTTTTACTGTACCATGAGACTATGGGGGCTATTATAAAATAACAAATAGGATTTGGTCCTTCGACATCTCTTTTTTTCCTCCTTCTGACCTGGGGCAAAGGTGGAAACCGAGGTAGCAGGGGGTGGGAAACCTCCATTTGCCACAGGAGCCAGAAAGAACAGCTGGTTTTTTTCCTCTTCCATTAGGAACATGTACCGTCCTCACACCAGCACTAGGAGGCGCTGTGCTGCCAAAACCTGGGAGCCTTGCTCAGCCTAAAGGCATGAGCTGAAACTTAACCCGGCAGGTGGACCGGGGGATAGTAAGGAGATGACCACGTAGGGAGAAGGTTTAGGAAGCTCCTTGGTCCTGAGGTGGCCAGCAACGGGAAGCAGGCCACCGAGTTTAAGAAGAGAGCAAAAGCAGGCATGGGAAGATGGGCATGGGGTGGAGGAGAAGAGAATGAAGGTGGCTTCTGGGACTAAAAAGATTGTAGAGTAGCTCTGGCTCCAGACGTCACAGGCTTGGCCGGGGTGGGGAACTGCCACTTTATTCCCAAGGATGGGGACCTTTTCTTTACTTTGAGCATCTTAAAAAATTGCAGTGGGCAGAGGTTGAGAAAAATGGGCTTTAACTGCAGGAGGAATGATTTTGGATCGATTTAAGGAGAATTAGAGCTTCAGTATGGTGGCAAGCCCGTTAGATTTGGAGATGGAAGCTAGGTTTGATTCCCAGGACTGCCGTTTATTACCTGGGTGACCCTTCTGTGGACCTCAGTCTTCTCATCTGCGAAAAGAGGGGACTTGTATTTGGGAGTTATTTATACTAAATGACTACCCTTCCAGGCTGGAATCCTTTGTTACTATGTGTTACCCAGAGATCTTGTGGGGTCGTCTCTGGAGAACTTTAGGAGGGGAACTGACTGAACTCTTTCCAGGAAGGGTTGAATGTCATTCAACATGAATGTAAGGGAACGGTCCTGATGACATTCTAAATGTCTCTTAAAAATTTCATGATTCTTTATGAGTTAAAACATAGACAAAGATTCTTGCTGTAGCCCACCTTCTGTAGGAGTCCTTCTTCTCTGGTCCCCCAAGATGCTTTCAGATTCCTTCCATCTTCTTAGTACATGTCTTGAATGTGCCTAATTATTTACTTGTTAATCTTCCATTAAAATGGACACTCCTTGAGGACAGGAGCTATTTTTGCCTTCCTTTGCCTACCCCAGCACTTAGCACAATGCCTGGCACATAGTATGTACCTGATATATATTTGACTGACCAAGAATATTGTATGATTCTGTAGCTGACTTTCCATCTCACCCCAGTGGACGGTCTTAAACTAAGAGAGCCTGAGTAATTATGAAAAAAAAATCACTTGGCTTCCCCTCCTAGACCAATGAAATTAGGACTCCTTCCAAAGCATAATCTCTGCTCACCTTGAGTGAGTAACCAATGGTTTGCTGATCCCAAAGAGTCACTCTGGACTCTACCATCCCTCAAGGGAAGGGTTCAAGACACAACCTGATAAAAATGGACTACTTAACCTTTTGAGTGTTTTTTCTGGGAGATACTTAGGAGAGGTATGGATAGATAGATGGATGTATATGTTTGTACATATATATTTATTTATATAATCAAATGCCCACGAAAGCAAGGCTGACTAAGGCCAATCATTCAATCAACAAGCATTTATTAAATGATTACAATGCTGCCAGGCACCGTGTTATACCCTAGGAATAAAGAAAGGCAAAAATACAAAAATAGTCCCTGCCCTCAAAGACTTTGGATACTAATGGAGCTTACATATGACATATTTACATGTAACATAATTACATATTAGGAACACACAATTTCATTTCACCCCCTTTCCTACTACCATGACAAGTTTCTTGTCTCACCTGGGCTAGGACTGCACTGGATGCTCGAATGTGGCTTGGAGTCTTCCACCTCTAGCTGGAACTCATCCAGGTCAAGGTCATCTGGGATAGGAAAGTAGATGATGTATTAGAATCTGAGGTCTTAGTATTAGTTGAACCTTTTCTCTTCATCCCTTTCAAACCCAGTTGCTCCAAACACTACTTACTTCTATAAAATCTTCTTGGATTATTTCCACTCGACACCTCTCACCCCAGAGACTCCAGCATCCCCCAGTCCATTCCCCTCATTCATTTCTATCTTCAGGCATATCAACATTCTCTCAATTAACTGAATTATTTATTTCCTGGGTTCTTTCCAATAAGTGTTAAACCCAGCCCAGTTTTATTCATCCTTTAGTATTTGCTTAGCCCTCCCTCCCAATGACCCTTAATTCAATTCATCAAATGAGTCTTCTTCCCCTTTTGTCCCTCTTTTCTCACTTTTGTCCCTCTTTTCTACTCCTCACACGTGCCCCACACTGGCTCAAACACACACCATCTTTTGCCTGGACTATAGTCCCCCAACTTGTCTCCCTTCTCCAATCCATCCTCCACACTGCTGCCAAAGCAATATTCCTAAAACGGATCTGACCAGATTACTCCCTTCTCCCAAATCTTCAGTGGCTCCCTATTGCCTCAAGAATGAAACACAAACTCCTCAACCTGGTATTCAAATTGTTCTACCACTCGGCTCTCACCTAGTCTTAGGCTCTCGGTCTAGTCTTAGTTCATCTTACTTCTCTTGGGGTCCTCTCCATTCCAGCAAAAATGGCCTAGTTGCTGTTGTGGAAACACAGCAACATACCATTCCCCACCTTCATGCCCTTATAGAGGAGGTTCCCGATGACTGGAGTTCACTCAGTCCTTACACCGCTGCCTCTTAGAATCTCTAGCTTCCTTCAGAGCCTAGCTCAGGTACCACTTCCTAATCAGGATCTTTTCTTTTTTATTTATCTATTTATTTTTTTAATTTTGGAGGCAATGGGGGTTAAGTAATTTCCCCAGGGTCACACAGCTAGCCAGTGAGTGTCTGAGGCCAGATTTGAACTCAGGTCCTCCTGGCTCCAGGGCCAGTACTCTATTTGCTCGGCTACCTAGCTGCCCCCAGGATCTTTTCTTTACTCAACATTCACCTCCACTTCTATCCCCAGTTGCTAGTTCTTGCTCCTTCTTGAAATGACTCGGGGTATAGATTTTGTATTCATCATTTATTTGAGGTCATATTGTAGACCAACGGGAGAATATAAGCTCCCTGAAGGCAAAGACTTTAATTTTATTTATTTTTGTAATATTTTAGTTTATTTTGTATATGACATTTAATTTAATTTTTGTGTGTGTGTGTTTGTATCCCCAGGGTCTACCACAGTGCTTTGCACAATTCAGGTTGTTGTTGTTGTCAAGGATCTCATCGGTGTGGGACATTTCCTCTGCCAGATTAAGTCAGCAATTAACAGTCTTGGAGTTGCCCAGGAACTGAGAGGTTAAGTGACTTCCAGTTGTTTAAGTCTGCTTTTCAGATGCAAGACTAGGACTCTATCCACTCTGGCCTCTCTATCCACAATGCCACTGCTAATTAAAAATCATGATAATAATAACAGGTAGCGTTTATACAAGGTGTCCCCAAAGCCTCCATGCAGTCTGAAGTTACTAAAGCACCAAGGCTTTGAGGACACCCCTCACGGCACTTTAAAGTTTATAAAATCGATTATCTCATTTTATTCTCAGAACAACTCTACGAGGTGGGTGTTATTATTATCTCCATTTTACAGATGGAAAAACTATGGTTGAGAGAGTGGTTGAGCAACTCGCCCAGGGTCGCACAACTTGAAAGTGTCTGAGGCAAGATTTGAACTCTGTCTTCCTGACTCCAAGTCCGACATTTCACCACCTAGCTGCCTCTAGTTGAGAGGAAATGAGTAGACCAAACGTCATCCATGAGATGTCCCTATTCCTCTCAATGAAGTATCTGAGCAAGTCTACACCATCCTTAGGGAGATGCTCACATAATCCCAACAAAGGTTCAGTACTCTGTAATTCATCAAGTTGTTCAGGGAAATAATTTCAGAAGTCACTGTGCAAGAGTCCCTTGGGAGAATAAAGTCTACGTTTAAGAATGGGAGTGATGGTATCTGGATTTTGTGCTGGTCAGACTGCATCTGGAGTATTTGGCTCCAAGTATGTAAAAAGTACGTAAAAAAAAGTATGTAAAAAGTACTTAAAAAGGAGAGGGATCAGAATGACGAGAGGATTCAAAACCATATCATGGGACCGATGGCTGAGGGTGCTGGGTTGTTTAGCCTAGAAAAGAGAGGACTTGGTGGGGACGGGGTCCACTGTCCAAAGATATTTGAAGGGCTGCTGAGTAGTAGAAGGATCAGAATTTTTCTGCGTTGTTTCAGAGATCAAAACCAGGACCAGTGGCTGGTAGTTCTGGGGAGAATAGACTTCAGCCCAATCTAAGGAAGAATTTTCTAACAATTCAAGCTGTCAGAAAATTTTAAACGCTATTTTGAAAAGTAGTGCTTTTTGTGTCACTGAGAACGTCCATGCACAGGCTGGATGGCCCTTTGTTAGCGGTGTTGTGGAGGGGACCTCTGCATTAGGTGGAGTATAATACTTTCTTTTTTTGCAAGGCAATCCAGGTTAAATGACTTGCCCAGGGTCACACAGCTAGTAAGTGTCAAGAGTCTGAGGTCAGATTTGAACTCAAGTCCTCCTGACCCCAAGGCCAGAGCTCTATCCACCGAGCCACCTAGCTGCCCTCTCTGCATTACGTAGAAAGTTGGCCCCCACAGCCTTGAAGCTTCCTTCCAACTCCGAAGACTCAGCACGAATTTAGGGGTAGGGTTACATTGAATAATATTGTCGACCAGTGTAAAATATTGAGTAGGAAGATAAGTCCACTGCAAAACAAAGCGCACTGTGTGTTTGAGTATTTAAGAAAAGGGGATTTCAAACAGCTGCAGCTGCCGATTGTCTACGGCAGGGCCCCCTGCCCATCTGCGCAGAAAGTTGCACGTGTTTTTTCTCTCTCGCTGAGTCTCATGTCTCTGTCCTATGTAAGTGTGTCCAGTTATTCCCATTTGAAGCAGTGCCCTCCCCCCACTTCTTCCCCCTTAGGAGAAGGAGCTGGCTGGGGTTAGGGAAGAATTTTCAGTTATTTCTATGCCCTGGTCTCCTCTTCTGAGTAACCCACTATGAGATCCCACAATTCTCTGCTTGCTGGGGAGTCCAGGAGGTACAGGCGAAAGGTATGTCCTGAGTCCTTGCCCACCCTAATTTTTCTCTCTCACTTTTCTCTTCTTTATCCCTGTCTCTCCCGGCCCCCCTCACCCCCCCCCCCCCCCCCCACCTGCCCTTGCAATGGGCTCCGCAGTCCTTTGAAGCCAAAATGCGTGAATGAAACACAATTGAGCGTAATGGACCCGTTCCGCAGCTGGGAAAGTCACAGTCTAGGTGTTAAGTAACCGTTCCCTCAACAGGAAGGAAATCCAACCTGGCTGCGGCTGCGACAGCCCTCGGCTCTTCTTGGAGGCTCGTTAGCTCTCCCAGGAAGCTCCAGGCCTCTGCCCCAGCTCCCGTTACAGGCAGCTAGGAGCCCAAAAGCCTGAGCCCCCCGCTGTTCTACTACGGAGCTTAGAACTGGTGGAAAGTTTCCCTCAGGGAAGTTAAAGTTTCCACTCCTCTTTCCAGCCCCCTGAGGCAGTGTATACCAGACATCCGGAAAATCCTCCGGTGGACAGCCGTCTGCTGGGACTAGAGCCAGAGAGGCTGGGCCCCTGCCCGACAAGGGTCCTGCCCCCCTCCCTCCAGCACTGCCCAAGGAGGAACTCTGAACTGACAGCAAAGGACGTTTTCAAGTGCTTTCCACACCCTTCCTATCTCTGCCTCTGTCTCTGTCTCTGCTCTCCTCTCTCTCTTCCCCTCTCTCGATAATCTTCATAATCATAAGTTATGCACCAGTACATCCTCTTCAATGAAAAGGCATTTGTTTCTCTTAAATCATCTTATCTCCACATTTATTCTGTGCTGAGCTTGATTTCTCTCTCTCTCTTTTTTCTATCACAAAGAGAGGTTCAAAAACAAAACAAAACAAAACTCACGAGAGAAAGTACCATTTCCCCTCTCTCCTGAAGCTCCCTGCCTTGCAGCATCACTTACCTCCCCAGGGGGACACTCTCTCAAGTCGTTGAACAACTGGCTGAAAAGGCCTGACTTTGATCTCAGAGACCAATCAATGAAAAGATTCTGAACCATTCTCTTCTCCCGAGCTCCCCGGCCCCACCCAACTTTTCCTTTCATCCCAACTGCTCCAAAGCCTTGCCCTAAAAGGCTCTCACTGTGATCACCATCCATGGCGTTATCACCACTATCTCCCGTAACAACAGTCACCGTGCGGTAAAATCAACTCCAGACGATGTGTGATAAGGAATAGGAAGGAGGGGCACAAATCATCCCAAACAGCAAACAACTGGTTTTTTCCCCCTCCTATTTGGCTCTGCAATATATCGTATGAGATAAGGGCTTGTTGTTTGGGTTTTGTCCTTTTGGAGGGGGGGACGGGGAAGTAGATGTAATTTAATTCACTTAGCTCTGGCTGAGGCTATAATGAGTCTATTTTCCTTAAGTATGCAGACTAACAGTGGTGGGAATCCTGCCTGATATGGTGGGGAAAAAGGCTCGAGGCTTGAAATCAGGGGATCTGGGAACAGATATTGGTTCTGCTATTAACTACCTGTGTGACCTTCCCTTGCCCTCTCTGGGCCATTTTCCACATGTGTAAGATGAGAGAATTGGACTAGAGTAGGGTTAATTAACTTTTTTTATATCATGGACCCCTTGGGTGCTCTGGGAGGCCTATGGACCTCTTCTCGGAATAATATTTTAAATGCATAAAATAAAATACAGAGAACTACAAAAGAAATCAATTATATTGAAATACAGTTATCAAAATATTAAAGACTCTGGATTAAGAATCCCTGAAGTAAATGGGTTTTTAAGGTCTCTTCTAGCTCTAAATCCTACAATACCCCTTTCAGTGGAAGGCACCCTGGCATTCAGCACCGGCAGTAGCTAAGCCACATGTGACTAACTGAGACTATCATGCAGGTCTTCTCTTTTGGGGTGAGGAAGGGGAGGGGGCACTGTCCCCCAGCTGGCCAAAGTCCAGTGATTCCTCCCCAGATTCTAGAGTAGCCTTCCCCAAATAGTCCTCTCTGGCAGGAGCCTCCCTCCCTTCCTTCAGCATATCCCCTGACTCATTCTCCTGTAGCCATTTCCCCACCAGTCCCATCTCCAGCTCCCCAGGTCACTCACAGTGGCTCTCCGTATGACCGCCAAGGAGACTGGGGGGCCTCTTCATGGCCTCTTCCTCATCTGTGTGACCATCCTCAGCCTCCCACTGGCCAGAAGCCTTGAAGTAGCCGGCACAGGTTTGATAAGCACAGCACTGATAGGCATAGGGCACCTCCAGGACCCTGAGGAGGAAACAATGAGGACCTTGGAAACACTTGGCCAAGTGTGGATCCAGTGACTTCTAGCCCAGGGCCCCACTACTCATCAGCCATGGCACTCTCCACCTCCAGTCTGATGATCTTCAGAGTGCCTTGCTCATGGTATGTGTTTAATAATTAGTTGTTGAAAACCACAGGATTGATTGGAAGCTGAGCTCCCGGGCATTATAGGGTATTGACTTCCAATATAATAGAAAGAGTTCTGGGTTTAGAATTGAAGGAGCTGAATGCAAAGCCCAGCCCTGCCACTACCAGTGTGACTTTGGGCAAATTACTTCCTCTCTCTGGGCCTCAGTTTTCTCATCTGTACAATAAAGGGTTGTACTACACGATCTCTAAGAACCCTTCCAATTCCAAATCAACAATCCTGTGGATCTGGAAAGCTCAAAGGTTCTGTTCCTCAGAGGTGAGGCAGGGAACTAGGAATGACTCTCATTATTATCTATAGAAACAGGCCCAGAGGGGAGAAGTAATTTACCAGTGGTCACACTGGTACCACAACGAAGAAGCCTCAGGAACTCTCACCACCCTACCCCCAGTCTAAAACTCCATCATGGTATTTGGGTAGGGTACAGATGGAAGGGCATAGAATTCTCTCAACTCCCCTCTACCTTCTCCCTCAAGGGACCTTACCTCTCCATCCCTGCCCTCCCAGGCACCCCAGAACTGGACTCTGCACCCTCTGCAGGCAGCTTTGTTTGGCTTCACTGTGTAATTAGTGCCCTGAAGGTACCTCATTAATTTGTAGCAGACAAGACCTGGGCCACACAGACTGCCCTACCCTGAATGGAAGAGGCCTGGATGTCATTAGCACTGAGGGACTGGCTTTCAGCATGTTTTCTACTCATCTGTTCCCTAAGCTCTCACCCTGATTCCAAGGACTCAGCCATGACCAGGGTGAGGATGGAAAGCGTGAGAGCACAGAGCTGGTGGGACATCAGGGAAGGTCCCCTGGGATTCCCCTTTAGGGCAGCTCTGGGCTTCCCCAAAACTGGAAGAGTGCTATCATCCCTAAGCTGGTAATCAATAGGCAGAATGTTAAGGAGATAGGAAGGAGAAAAGGAAGGAAAAACAGACGTATATGTGAGGCAAGTCTTCAATGGGTCTCAAGGAGAAATGAGCCTTTACCTACCCCATCCCTATCATCCCACCTCATGCAGGCTCAACCAAGACCCAAGATATGACAAAGATCACTTAATCACTTAACTTAATCACATAACCCTTCTAAGTTCCAGTTTCTTCACTTAAGAAATAATGCTAGCAGTATTTATACTGCATACCTCATAGGGTCAAAACCATATATAAATGTTATTAATATTTTCAAATAATATTTTGTTTTTCCCCAATTACATGTTAAAATAATTTTTTAACATTTCAAAAAGAGGTTTGAGTTCAAATTCTACCCCTCCCTCCCTCCTTCCCCTCCCCCCCACATAGTAAGCAATCCAATATAGTTTATCCATGTTCAATCATGTAAAACTAAATGTTATTAAAATTAATAACAAAAGGCATCTTTTTAAGCCCCTGTTATTCCCTATCCTCTCCAGGAAACTTCCAAACCCCCAAAAGGGGTGAGATAATAAAAGAAATCTGGACAGGAAGAAACTCCTTTAGAGTAGATTCTATCTAGTTCTAACAAGCTGTGTGACCTTGACCAAATCATTTCCCCCATATAGGCCTCAGTTTCCTTGCTTGTAAAATGAACTAGATGACATCTAAGAAGCCTTTCAGCTCTGATGTTCTTTGACTCTTCGTGAGCATTCTGGCTGTCCTTGGTGGAAATTCCTGCCCTATTGGGAAAGCATCAGGGCCTCTCACCTCAGCTTGGGGAAACTGTCCTTGGAGAAGGCCTCAGAGAGGGATGGATTCCCTTTGAGCTTGAGATGTACCAGCCCGCTGAGCCCAGCCAGTGGGAGTGTGACCAGCTGGTTGTTCGTCAGGTCCCTGTTACAGGCAGAAGGAAACATAAGCATCATGACCGGAGAGCTCCTTCAGATGCTAGACAGGGAGACAGCTGTGAAATGAGCCTGGGGAGTAGGGCCGTACTGAGGGAAGGTTAGCAAGACCCCCTCCTGAAGTTAAATGCTGGGGAGAGGGCTTTGAATATGAGACTAAGGATTTACTCTGAGCCTTCTGCGGCCCTCACCGAAAGCCATTTAAAATGCCCCCTACTCCACAAAGGCTCAGTAGGGATTGAGGAACCAGGGACTGAGAATAAGAGGCAGCTAAGGATCAGACAGAGAAGGCCAAAGGGTTTGGTATATCCTTTCCAAAGCTTCAGAATTCTTGGGCCTGGGGCATGTGGTTGTTTAGCAAACTGGTTCATATTCCTAGATGATCTAAGTCCCCTGTCCTCAGGGTCCAGACACCCGTTGGAGGTTTCCCCGTCCTTCCCAGGAGAGCCCAGGCTAATTGGAACCACTCCTGGTGAATGTCTTCTTTTTCCATCCCATTCTCCTGGCTCTCCTCTTGCTCTTCTGTCAGAACAAGAGGTCACTGTCTGTGGTCTCATGGTAGGCCCTGATCCGGAGTCAATGGTCTGGGAATCCTTGTGCGCTGCAGCCCCTTTCAGAGGCGAACCAAGTTGAGAGCCAAGAACACCCATGTTATTGTACCAGAGAAACCCAGGGGGCCAAGGCTCCAAAGCAAACACTGCAACCACAGGCTGTGTCTGAGAGGCTGGCTGGAACTGTGGGAAGAGCCCGGGGGCCCAGGCTTTGGTCCTGTTGCCGCCACTGACCTGTGGTGTATGTGCCCTTGGACATGTTTCATCTCTAAACCTTAGCCCCTCATCTGCAGCAAGAAAGGATGGAATACCTACTGTGGCTGCCTCACAGGGGGAGGGAAGGTAACATAGGATGATGCCTGGGAAAACACTTTGAAAAGCAGAAAGCATCTTAAAACTCTGACAGATTGCTATTGTACCTGGTCCAGAAAGTTACTTCACCTCAGCCTGATAGCGCCCGTTTGTAGGTGACTTCTAAGGTCCCTTCCATGTATAATGGATTATCTATGGAGGCATGGTGGTACAGTGGAGAGGTCAGCCCTGGCTTCAGGAAGTACTGCCCCTGACCCACAATGGCTGGATGATTCTGGTCAGTCAGTCAAAAAACATTTATTAAGTGCCTACTATGTGCCCTGGGGAATGCTGTAAGTTTGCTGATCTGCGGTATGGAGGGAATTTCCACACTGAACTACCCACATAGATGAAGTCCTGGGTCTAGATGAAAGAGTGAGACAGAGAGAGATAGAGACAGAGTCAGAGAGACAGAATCAGAGAGAGAGAGAGAGAGACAAAAAGAGAAAGACAGAGACAGAGAGGCAGAGAGAAGAGAAAGAGGACAGAGAGAGAGGAGAGAGGGGAGAGGGGAGAGAGAGAGAGGGGAGAGGAGAGAGAGAGAGGGGAGAGGTGAAAGAGGGAGAGGGGGAGAGAGAGAGAGAGAGAGAGAGAGAGAGAGAGGCAGTATGGCATAGTGAGTAGAGTGCTGGGTTTGGCAACAGGAAGATCGTAGTTCAAATCCTACCTGGGACCCTAATGACCTGTGTGATCTTAAGTAAGTTATTTAACCTCTCTGGACCCTAGTTTTCTTGTCTATAAAGTGGGGGGGTTGAATTCAACTCTGACTTCTAAGTTCTTTTCTTGCTCTTTTATAAAGTAAACTTCTTACAAGTAGAAATCATTTCATTTCCTGTCTAGCACATCTAGCACAGTGCTGGGCACATAGCACACTTAATAAGCATTTGGGTGGGGGCAGCTAAGTGGCACAGTGGATAAAGCACCGGCCCTGAGTTCTAATCTGGCCTCAGACCAAACACTTAACACTTACTAGCTGTGTGACCCTGAGCAAGTCACTTAACCTCAATTGCCTACCAAAAAAATAAATAAATAAGTACTTGGGTGGATTGATTGACCCTTCCTCTTTAGAACTTAAAGCAGTTTACAATGCAAAATGAAGTTCGATTTCATTAAAATGAAAATTGTATTATTCAAAATTCAAAAAATTAAATGTGATAAAGAAATATAAAGAATTATGATTTCAAATCACCCAGGGGATAAGTTATTAACATTTACACTTTTGAAATCATTAAAAATTAAAACTGCACTAAGACTTTTGGGACATGCTGTGTAATTAATTAAAAATATACCTTGCAGTGCTCACTTCAGCAGCACATATACTAAAAAAAAAAAACCTTCCAAAAAAAAAAAAAGAACTTAAAGCAGTTTATCAGAATGGCAGCCTCCAGTTGTCTCCCAAAATGGCATGCCTTAAGCTACCATCCCAAGCAATGGGTCTCTAGGGAGTGTGCCTCTTTGGGATGCTGTGGCTGAATTACCACATAGACAAAAATGTTTCCATCTCTCTGAAGAAATCCAAGCAGGAGGAATCCTAAATGCATTGAGGGTTTTTTTGGTGAGGGGAAGGCAGAAAAGAGCTAGTGAGAGAAGGCAGATGTTCACAATCTTGCCTTGCTGCCTGTCAGAGGGGCCGTGCACATGAATGATTAGGCAAGCAGCACCACTCTGTGATGCATGATCAAACATTTCCAAGTTCTCTCTCCCTGGGGCATGCAACACCCCCCACATTCCCTGGGCCTGGTGGACTAGCTTTAAGTCTTAGCTTCTACCTTGGGGAACCAGAGAAAGGGGAAAGCTGGGTACTCACAACTTGACCAGGGAATGGAGGGTCACAAAAGCTTCAGGGTGGATGAATCTGATGACATTCCAGCTCAGGTCCCTACAGCATCCAAAGGAAATAGTGGAGGTGAAGTTAGGAAAGAGATTGAAGCTGCTATCTATACTGCTGCTGACTTAGTTTCCCCATCCAATATTCTCATGGTTCTTCATAAGACTAACTGCAGTCTTCTCAAGTAGGAAGGTATCACTTAGCCCCAGGTCCATATCTGGTCCCCAGAGGAACTAGCTAGGCTCAAAGTCCCATAGACCCTGGGGTAACAGGCTGAGAAGTGGTTTGGGGAATCATCTACATTGCTGGCACAGGCCAGCAGTTCAGGGCCATATGGGTGGGAGAGCATGTTAGGCAGTCTCTAGAAGCAAGGGAAAGTATGTGTGTATTACATGCTTATATATAGGTGTGCATATGCACAGATGTATCTATGGGCGTATATTGCATGTGTATAGACTTTATCTAGCTAAGCATGTCCCCATGTGTGTATTGAATGTCTGTATATCCATATGCGTATATATGTCTGTATAGAAATGAGTATATGTTTATACATACATATATGTGTATCAGACACACCCATCTGTATATAGGGATATATATATACTTTGCATGTTTATATGGTATCAGTTTACAGGGGTGTGCATGCATGCATGCTTATGCTATATGTATGTATGCTTAGGGGGCAGGGGGCAGTGCCTTTCACCAGAAGCATATTGCCCTTCCTGAGAGCGTCCCAGGACATCCTAGAGTACAACGGAGGTATAGGGAACTATCTGATACTCACAGGGCTCGAAGGGCACTCAGCTGGCTGAAGGTGTCAGCACCGATTTCCCACATCTGATTGTGCTGGAGGCCTCTGAGGCAGCAAGAGAAAACAGGGTGAGAAAAGAAAGGGGACAATGGGGAGGCTCTGGCCCTGCTCCCCACTCCAAGAGGAGGGAGGAAGCTCCCCGTTTCTCCTGGCTTAGGAAGAAAGGGCCCAACCCGAGGAAGTCACCAGGATTAAGTGGAGCAGATGGGTATCTGGTTGCCTTGGGTAAGTGGGTCAAGAAACAAAGCCACAGAACCACCAGTGTGGCCCAGAGGAGTCGGCTTTCAGAGTTCCCACTGGGTCTGGATCCCAGCCCCATCCTTTCTTTGTCACTAGACCCTCCTGCTCCCTGGACGAGGCATCCTCCCCCAATACCTGAATCAATTAGGCCACCCCACCCACGATTTGATTGAAGTGAGGGTTCCCTGGATTAATTGATCCATTAAAATGTCCCCTGGATCAGTAGCAATCTTTCCCATTTTCAAGGATTCGTTGTCCCTCCCCTCAAGCCCTTGGATCAGTAGTGTGATTCCTAGGCTCCTAGAACAGTTGGATTCTACAGGCCCACAGACAGATTGGGCACACCTTCACAGCCCTTGGACTCTAGGAAATTTGTCTCCAAAGTGTGTTCCAGGATACTCTAGGGGGGCTGTGGCCTGCCCTCAAGGGTGCCGTGGTATGAGTCCATGGGATGTATAATTACATCCCACCCTTCTTTAGAGAGCCAATTTTGAGGCTGGTCTCCTGATTACATGACAACACCTATTCTTCACCCATCATAGTCCAACGCTCTTCCACCTTTGGAACCCCTTTCTACTTTGGTACCCCAAGCTACCAAGTTTCCTTCTTCTGGACCAGGCTTTGTCCTTCTGGGAAGCTATCCCAGAAGCCACAGTAGCTGTGCGGTTGCCATTGGAAAAATCCCCTTGTCACCATCCCCATGAGTCTTTCCCCCTCAGCATACCCACCAGGAAAACAGAATACATTTTACTTATAAAGCTACATGATCAAAAAGTTTGGAAACCATTGGTCTGAAGGAGGAGTGGCTGCCACTGGGGAAAAGCATCCTGATCTTGGGTTAGAGAACAGAGCTGTCTCTGGGTTCTTTCTCTGCCTCTATTGGATCTACTCCATTCCTCCCTGAAACCCAGGAATCCTGAAGAACCTTCTGGATATGATATGGAGAGAGCCTCAGGAATGCTGGGGATCTCCTTTCCTGGGAATTTTTAAGAACAGGATATACTTTCTCCTTCACAACCCACCCTCCTCTCAAACCACACCCTGATGCTGATAGCCGTATGGGACAGGGATGATTCAGACCTGAATGGAAGCAGAGAGGCTGATAGAATAGCTCTTCCCTCTTACCTCATGCCCTTTTCTTGCATTTATATATTTCTATTGATGCTATTTGTGTATTTGTCTTGCCCCCCTCATCCCAGCCATCCCCCTCAACCAAGCCATCAGATCACTGGGGACAGGGACCATGCCCGCTCCTTACTCTGAATGCCAAGTGCCTCCTCCAGGACTCTGGACCCTGTGTACACCAAAATGCCCATGAAGGCAGTGACAACAATGACAATACCTCCCACTTCTGCAGGGCTTGAACAATTTTGAGAAACCTGGAAATAGGTGGTATAAATCTCCCCTTAGCAAAAAGGCGCTGCTAGATTTTGGCCGTTTTTGCCCTGTTCCTCCAGACAGGCTCTGGGAAGCCAGTTTGGATTGCCCAGCCTCCCTCCTTCTGACTCACATTTCTTCCAGTTTCGGACACCTGCGTAGGCTGGGCAGCTCCTCAATTTGATTATGAGAGAGTTCACTGCAGGGAGGAAGGAAAAAGCCAAGACAGGAGGTAAAGCAGCAGGCTGTGTGTATGGGGAGCAGTACTGGAGGGATGGGAAAAGTAGATCTGGGGGAAGGGCAGTGGAAGGATGCTATCTCCTCTAGCCAGCGAGGAAGTCGGGAGGTCCCAGGGGGCAGATTCACTGCTCACATGCCTGACACTCGGTCATCAGTTTCCTCCTTCATTTCCTGGAAGCTGACATGATTCTCCCACCCCTCTTACCTCTACAAAACCTTGATCTCTACAGCCTGGCCAGGAGAGAATCCAGCATGGCATTTCTCCTGTGAGACCTGGCCCAGTTTCATTGACTAGGGGCTGGGAAACACTGCATAAGGGGAGGGGATAGGGGCTGGAGAAAAGATCTGCATGTGGAGCAGAGGATGGAGAGGAACTGAGAAATGGAGGGAAAGAAACTAAGGGAACTAGTGGACAGAGGCAGGGACTACCCAGGGTGGGAGAAAATAAGCAGAATTAGCATTATGTCAGCTGATGTGGATTTATGCACATAATCATCTTTCCAATTAAGGGTTCTGGAGCCATCTGCTCAGACATTTTTGGTAACTGGGAACCTAACTGAATGCCCTCAGAGCCAAAACCCGAGACAAGGAGAAAGCAAAACTCCCTTTGGCTTCACAGAGAGCAGGGCTACAGAAGTGCCCCTGGGGTCTAATGGGAGATTTAGTTCACTTGAATAAATCCAGCTAAGAAGGAAAGCCCCTCTTTAGCAGGCTCTCAGCAGGGCCTGGATCTGTCTCTCCATTAGGGGCACCATCTGACCTAGTGGGATAGGAGTAAAATGGGCATTTCTAAGGCCACGGGGGAAAAGAGGACTATGAGGTCAGGGCTGAGGCAAGCCCAAGAGCTACTCACAGGACTCGGAGTCTGGGGAGCTGTTGGCACATCCCCAAGGGGAGGAGCCGGATGCCGGCCCTTGTCAGGGTCCTGGGGGGAGAAGACAAATGGTGTTGGCACCTAGCCTAGAGCCCATGACCCCCCCTTTCCCTCCAACTTCACCCCACAGCTTCCCCTCTCTGAATCTCTGGGTCTGATGCTGATGTGGGAGGACAGAGCCAACAATAGAACCAGGCAACAAGCAGCTCGAAAGAGACAAAAGTCTGGGGGTCTGGTTGGGGGGAGAAGAAAGTACAGACATATTTGTTTGGGTGAGGGGTGAGAATGATCCAAAGTTTAGCTTTCAAGTTCTTCAAGAAAGTCTTCCCACCCATTCCTCAGCTGACAGAATAGTTTTCCCTTGTCTCTCATCTCATTCTCTTTTTCTGCTGATTGCATGTGTATATTTGTCTTGACTCCCCTCCCCCACTGCTACTGAGCTGTTAGGCCACTTGGGACAGGGACCATGCAGGACTAGAGCAGGCTGGGGTAGGGAGTGGGGGCAGGAAGCCAGAGGAGGGAACATGCAATACTTTGGTCATGTTGAATGGTCCCTGAATACCCAGGGACCTCAGAGAATGTTTACCCCTCTCCCCATCCAGTCTCAGGGTCTGGTCTTCCCCAAGAGCAGAAGGCAGATACACATCCTAGGCAGAGCTCTACTTCTCTGGGAAGGCAGTTGGGAGCATTGCTTTCCGAGCTCCATTGAAGGCCTTCTCATCCTGGAGCACCTCTCCACCCCTGAAGCCCCCTCCCTTCATCGGCGTATTCCTCCTACAACCATCATTTGGAGCAAGAGCCTGGGCCCACCATCTTCCATTCTTTTCCTGGCTCTACTTTGTACTCTCCAGACTTCATCAATATTTCCCCTCTTCCCCTTTTTCAACTCTCTTTTATGTGTTGTCTTCTCCCATTAGAAAGTAAGTTCCTTGAGGGAAAGGACTGTTGGGGGGGGGCAGGATTTGCTTGTATTTGTGAACCCAGTGCATAGTAGGCACCTAATAAATGCTCATTGACTTGGCTTGGCAAGGGATGGGAGGTGATTTGGGAATCAGAACAGGGATTGTTTAGAGGCAGGAAGAGGAGAAACTTACATGCATAGGAAGAGGAGAAGGTTACATGCGTAGGGAGAGGGCAAAGTGGGGTAAAAAGTAGGGTTAGGTTGGAGAATGTGTGTTGGCACAAGGGATGTTGTATGTTCTAGCAGAGAACCAAGGCCAAGGAAACTGATGTCAGTTTCCCATTTGGGGAGCTTTCAAGTAGAAAATAGAGCATAAGAAGCCTTCTCCAACCCTTCTTTCCTCTGTTAGTTATTTCCTATTTATGCTGTACATAGCTTGCTTGGTATATATTTGTTTGTATGTTCTCTCCCCAATTAAGTTGTAAGCTCCTTGAGGGCAAGGACTGTCTTTTTTTCTCTTTCTGTGTCCCCTTGGAGCAGTACCTGGCACATAGTAGGTGCTTAATTAATGCTGATTGGTTTGTTGATTAATTGAGAGAAGAGGAAGGACAGTCTTGCAGAAAGAGTTTGGAAATGGCCAGTTTTAGCCTCAACCCTATCACAGACAAGCTGGGTGAATGTGGACAAGTCCTCCTACCTTTTTGGGTCTTACTTTTCCCACCTGTATTACAGGGATCAGGCTGCCATTCCTAACTTTATAAAGCTATTGTAAGAAAAATAGGATCAATCATCAATCCATAAACATTTATTAAGTATCTGCTGTATGCCAGGCACTGTGCTAAACAGTGGTAGAAGCAAAAGCCCTACAGAACTATAAAGAAGACAGTCTGGCTAACCATCTGCCACCTCTGGCACTGGAGTTTCCCCATGGCTTTTGAGCAAAGCAAGTTGAACGATCAGACTAGGAAAATTCATCAGATGTAGTTAAGTGAGAGAACAGAATGGAAGCCCCAGGCCCACATCCTGCCTTGTGTGGCCAACAGTGCCAAGCACTCAGAGAAGGCCTGAATGGGGAAAGGCGTAAGTGCTAGCCCAGGGAGCCAAGCCTCTCCGAGAAGAGACCTCTCCTCCAGCTCAGCTGTCTCCAGGCCCACCTGGATGACCAGAGTCAGGGCCAGAAGTCAGGGGAGTGTAGGCCAGGGGGGGACCAGACGGAGGCCAACTGGAAGGGAGTGACTTCATCAAAGAATCCTAGATTTAGAGCCAGAAGAGATCTGAGTGATCCTTTAGTCCAAATCCCTCATGTTCTGTGTGTTATAGGTCCAGAGGGGGGAAGTCATTCACCCAAGAATACATGGCTAATATGTTGCAAAGCTGGGATTTGAACCTGTCTTTGAACTCCCAGTGTAATGTGCGTTTCTCTGTACCTTGATGCCTCAAGAGGGGAGATCTCCTTTGGGCAGAACTAGGGTGGTGATGGTGGGGAGACAGGCATGGGGCACATGAGAAAGGTCCTCAAAGTTGGGGGGGAGGGAACATAGCTACTCACAGGATCTCCAAGCTGGTGGTGCCTTTCAGATCAGGTAGTTCTCTGATATCAGTTGCACCATTCAGTGACCTAGGAATAAAGAGCAGAAACCTCTAAGGAGATGGTTTTGATGGGCTGACAGGTGGGGGTCCAAGTGGGTTCTCTCATAAGGAAATCACGCAGACCTTAGCCTTCTTCCTCCAGGGACCCCACCTTCTAAGGTTCCCAAAGAATCTCCCTTCAGTCTCTCCTAAACCAACCATAACCACTAGGATTGGACCCAGAAACTCAGCAGCAAGGGAAGCCCGACACAGCTGAACAAAATATATCCAGCTAGGGTCAGCCCACCCCACCCAGGATAGGGAAAAGGGGAACAAATAGGAGAAGAGCAAATGCTAGGGGAATTCCTGTGTATTTTGACCAGGAAAAAAGGCTAAACAAGGAAACATGAAGACTGGAATTTGTTTTTTTAAAAAAGTCAACAGCTCGGGTACTGCTGACCAAAAAGCTAGAATGCTGGCATCAAGAACAATGGGCTTGTATGGGCAGTCATCTGGATATCTGGTACAAACGGGGGTCCTGGGAACCCTGGATACAAGTATTCATTAAAGCCAAGAAAGAATCAGATTTCCTTAGAACTGCTCTGAACTCTGTATCTCACTGCCCAGGCTCTATCTACAACATTCAGATGGGGATTATGTATTCATTCGTTCATTCATTCATTCATGCAAAGAACACTTATTATAGATCTACTAAGTATAGGATAACTGTACTAAGTGCTTGGGGGAATACAAAGAAAAAGAGATATTGTCCGGGCCCTCAGGGAGCTTACAATCTAATATGGAAAGGTAAGACATGCCCGAAGAGAACTATAATGTGAACTGGAATATGGTAAACTCCTATAAGAGAAAGATAAAGAGCTACGAGATTGACAACTGGAGAGCAACTACCGTCTCACTTTTGTATGCCTCAGCATAGTACCTAGCACATAGCAGACCTTATTAGGTGTCTATTGATTAATTAAAATAATTTATGACAAGTAATTGATAAAAGAACTCTAGAGTTTTATTTATTTTATGATTCAAGTATCACCTGGAACCAAGGACATCCAGTGTAAGATTTCGTCAGGCTATTAAGTTTTCTGTAATTATGTGCAAGGCACATGCCCCTTTCCTGATATAATAAAAATAGCAACACTAGTAAACACTTACTTGTCAATTTAAGATTTGTAAAGCACTTTCTATCCGTTATCCCCTTTGATCATCACAACAAGCCTGTGATGTAGTTGCTATCATCACCATTTTACTGATAAGGAAACTGAAGCTGGCAGAGATGAAGTGATTTGCCCAGGGTGACAGAGCCAGTAGGTATGTCTGAAGAGAGATTTGAACCCAAGTCCTCCTGATTCCAAGTCCCACTCGCTTATCTACTAAATTAAGCTACCTCTGCTATAAAATCACACTGAACACCTGCTTTAGGAGCACTGATCTTTTCCTTGAGCCTGATATTCCTAGGGAACCATGCTCCTGACATGTAGAACAGATCGCCTGATTCCAGAGCCTAAGCAGTTGGAATGATGGTGCACTGTCTGGAATTATAAGTCTCTTTCCATGAGAAGTATGTGCCTCTGTCTCCCAACCATAAACTCTTTAAGATTAGGGGTAAGGTCTCATCCTTTTTTGCATCCCCCTCAATATCACTGTATGTAGATTAAGTGCTCAATAGATGTTGGTGATGGTTCTAATATGGTGAACTAGGCCACGTGGAGCAAAGACTTACAGAAGAAGTGGGAGCTGAGCTGGGTCTTAGGGAAAGGGTGTGGATAAAGCCAAGATGGGCTTTCTCCAGGATGCCTTACCCTCAAAGGCTACCTAAGTCAGGAGAAGAGGACCGACTTTCTTCCAAGGACTCCAAATGATCGTTGACTTTGGCCCTGCAGAAGCTATTTCTTGCCTGGTTCCAATTCAACACATGGAACCAAGCAAGGATTATATCTGTGCATCCTCTCTATAACCAGGGACATGCCAGTAAAGTTTTAACAACTGTGTCTCAGATAAAATCCCACATATACATGATACACTTTTAAGTTTAATCGGCATTATTAATATTTTATCTATCTCTTTCTTAAGTCTGGACAATCAGTAAAACAATAAATCAAGCTCTGATTTGTAGCAGTTACTGATTTCTAAGGTATAAATGCTCATGATGAAAATCTGGTGACTGGAGATAAGTAGTCCCAACACACCCCTGTTACAACTCACCAGGAATAGCAAATCTTGAGCATACTCTAAGAACTACTAGGCTCTTGTTAATAATGATAATATAATAATAATAATAATTACAATGATGAGGAGGAGGAGGACAGTGATGATAACTAACTTACTATGTATAGGTACTATGCTAAGTACTTTAAAATTATTATCTTATTTGCTCCTCACAATGACCTGGGAGGTAGGTGCTATTATTATGGTGCTATTATTATCTCCATTAATTTATAGGTGAGGAAACTGAGGCAAACGGAGGTTATGACTTGCCTAGGGTCAATATAGTAAGCTATTTAGGCTTACTGAGGCTGGATTTGAACTCAGGTCTTCCTGACTCCAGGCCCAGTGCTCTCTCTACTGTACAACCTAATGGCTTCACATTGGCCAGTTCCTTTCTTTATATGCTGTTATACATGGACACACCACATATAACAAGACTCTGATGAAAACTGGTGAAAAATTCACTGAACGGACTTATTTCCTGTTCTGGAAGATGGGAGGTCATTTCACCTATTTTCAGATCTGGAGGAGCTCCAAAAGGTAGAGTGACCCTTGGGAATTCAAGACTTATCCTGGAATGGGATCTTACTAATTCTTCAAGGAAATTCTCATGTCACCTAATCAACGAGACCTTTGTCAAGAAGAATAAGGAAATCTCAGGGAAAGGGCAAGGCAGAGGGTGGAGATACATCCTAGCTATCCCCGTTCACTTGGACCAACTTACAGTGTATGAAGCTTTGGCAGGTACTGAAAAGCTGATCTTCCAACAAACTGGATTGGGTTGTCATAAAAGTGGCTGGAATGAGAAGATCCAAGTTCAACTACAGAGCCACACCAACTCTCCCCAAGCCCTTTTACCCAGGACTAACTTGGTTCTCCCAATTTTTTCTCCTACCAATCCAATGGGCAATGAGTCCAGAGAAACTGTGAGGACACAACCCTTCTAGTTTCTCTTTGGGATCTCTGGAAAGGAAGTTCCACCCCAATTCCCACCCCACTCCCACTACCAGGGAAAAAAAATCCCTTACAGCCCAGGAGAGTGCTAGCCCTTACATAGTCTGCAGTAATGGGTTCCCCACAAATGCCTTCTCAGGAATGGCCTTGATGTTATTGTTATGGAAACCCCTAGGAGAGAATAAACCACAGGCAGTGAAGAAATGAAAGAGAAAATTAGTACAATGAGAGAAATGGACAGTCCACTTAGCTTTGTGTTTCTGGAGCAGAGCACTACCTTTGGTGACCTCTTAAGGTCTCTTCTAGCCTAAACTTATGAATCTAAGATTCTATGACCTGTTTCTGAGCCTAAAGGCCTGAAGTTCAAATCTTGCCTGAAGCTCTTCTTTGTGATAAACTAAGTACTTCTCCTTTTCCCTGGGGGGTATGTGAAAAAAAGGGTTCAAGTGCCTCAAAGCTTAGGCTGTCTTTGTAGAACTTATAGGCAACGTGGACTTCTCCAGAGCTGGAGGCGAATGCTGAGTTCAGATCCCATATGTAGGATTCTCTCTCCATCACAGATCTGGGTATTTTTCAGGAAGGATGCATAAGTAAAAAAGAGTGGAAACTTGGCATCAGGGCCACTATGATTTAGGCAAACTGGGGAGGGATATTTTCTAACGATGATTAAAAAGGCTGTCTGAGGCCCCTTAAGTACATGTAACTTCACGAAGAAGAGTAAACCAGGTTATCATTTGCATATGTGATTATGGATAGATCTGTGGAAAAAATGAGGCCAGTGGTACCAAGGTAGCTCATTGCCTGAGCTCGGGGCCATGCAAAATGAGCTCCCCCAGCTTTCTTCTCTGACAACTAAAAATCTTTCTGTCCCTTCACCTTCCTTCTCCTCTTTTGCCCATGGATCAATGGAAGAAATGTCCCTTTGGTTTTCCAAAACTAATTTCTTCACCAATACCTTTGATCCCATCTCCCCACTCCATTCCTAGAGGGCCTCCATCAGTCATGCTCTCTATCTAGCATCTACAACGTCTCCCTCTCTAATGGCTCCTTCCTCTCTGCCTACAAGTATGCTTGGTTATTTCCTCTCCTTAAAGACAAAACAAATTCTCTTCTCCATTGGCTTTGGGGATGTGCCTCTCTCCAATTTTCCTTGTATGTCCATAACCAACCCTTCTCCATCTCCTTCAGAGACTTCCCTTCCCTTTTCTGCCCTCTAAAGGCATGTTTCCCCCAGATACTGTCCTGAGTTTACTCTGTCTACACGCATTCTTGGAGAGAGTTCATCAACTCCTATGGCTTACATGCTCATTTTTAAGACGACCCCAAAATCTTCATCTCCACCTTGTGTTACTCCCTTACCTTCTATGGTACATTGCTACCTGGATGCCCTGACATCAGCTCAAATTCAAAATGTCTCTAAATGAAATAAAAGCTTATGTATTGGTTGGTTAACTGTCTTATTTCCTGTCTCTTCTAAACCAGTCCTTCCTCTTGATTTCCCTATTTCTGCTAATAGAACCTTCTCGTCGTCCTCCAGATTCATTTTTGACTCCTTCCTCTCCCCGGCAGCATGAAGTCCAGCTGTGGTGAGGGCCCTGAGGCAAAGACCATGCCATGTATGGGGGGGGAGGAAAGTCAATCCAAGGCCAGGGAAGGCCAAGAGTCATTTCTTTTGATGACAAACACAGTAGAAATGCTTCAAGCCAGGCTAATGAGGTCTGTGAGTACTTATTCTTAAGCTTCAGGGGAAGAGAGGCAACTTTAAAGGAATGTAGATGGGGAAGAGATGAAGAAGACCCGACCCCTAAACAGGGGCTCCCTCTGCCTCTGTCCCAAACCCTCCTAGATAGCTGACTTCTCTCCTAAGAACAGAAGACCCGTGGAAACCTACAGAGGCTCTTACAATTCCTGGAGTCGGCCAAGGGTCCGGATGGCCACAGGGAACTCCAGCAACTCATTATAATTCAGGTCTCTGGAAGGCAAAAGCAGAGCAGTTATTAGAGGGCAGGCTTAACAGGGCATGTCACGGTCCTGGAGAAATGGAAACTTGGCTCTGGGTTCAACCAGAGAAATGGGTTTTCCAACCTTGAGGATCCAGCTGCCAACGTCTGGAAACAAATTTTAAAATATTCACACTCCATCCTGCTCCCCAAATCACCAGGCATGCATTTTTTTCCCTGTAAAGACAGACCATCTGGGTGGAGGGGGAATTCACAGAGAGAAACTAACTTCACCCCAAACGGCCCCTAAATCAGAGGTTAGACTCCAGCAGACATCGTCCTATTCCTGGAGATGGAAAAATGGGAAAGGGGTTGGCTGCAGTTTTTTATTTTAATGCCCTGTCTCCAGGTTGACCATGTCAGGAAGGACCATTGCTCCTGCTAGAAGTTTCTCTTGGCATTCTCAGCCTGTGCTGTGGTCCTATTATAGAAAGTGACCATGTTACAGGTAAGATTTATGTTTGCCTTCATCTGCATGAAATTTCTGTCATTTCTCAGTGTCCTTAATCTACGACCCTTATTGCTCAGGTCCCTACCCTGATGCCTCCTCAGTAACTAGAATGCTCAACCTCTTTTCCTCCCTTCCCTTTTCCTACCCAGAATCCAGCCCCAAAGCTCCCGCCCCTCACCCAGTTCTTCCAGCAGGAGACAATGAGTCAGAGGTCCCCAGTGAGGTTCAGGTGCTCGGAGATGACTCTCAAGAGTGAGTAATGAATGGTGAGAGGAGGAGGAGGGTCAGCGCCAGTGGCTGTCTAGAGCCCTCAGGATGACACCGTTCTTCATCTTCTCAGGTCGGCCTCCTAAAGCCACACCCACCCTGACAACTCGAGAAAGGCTAGAGCATTGGGACCACGTGGAGGCCCTTTAATTAAAGGGCACCTTAGCAGGTTCTGTGGGTATAAATACCATGTTAACACGGCGATAATGACAGACTCCTCCAGATTGCTGGGTCATTACATTTAATAGTCTTGCAGGTAACTCGTGGCAACCCTGCACCAGGGCTGAGAGAATCCAGACAAGAATCTGACGACCAGCCAATGGCTGCATCATTGTCCCCTAGCTTCCCCTCACTAATTAACCTATTACCCTCAAGAGTCCCTCCCATTCATGGATGCGCACTGCCTAACCCTTTCTACTCCCTGGTTCAGCAGAAGATGGTGGGTTCATAGAATGTCAGAGCTAGAAGGGACTTTTGAGGTCATCCCATTCAACTTACTCATTTCACCCATGTAGAAATTAAGACCTAGAGAAGCTAAATGATCACCCCAAAGTCACACCAGCTATAAGAACAGATTCTCTAATTGGGAAATAAATTCACTATCTTTTCCATTACCTCATTCTGACCCTGAGCCTCAGGAAAGGAACTCTCATTGCAGCAGAGGGATTAATATTAGACAACAGAAAAGAACTTTTCACACTCCCACAGGTGGCTGGAGACTAGACTGGGTTATTGGGTTACGGGGTGGGAAGATGAGGAGGAACAGGAAATCCCTTTTCTTAGACATTGGTATGCTTTGAGTTGAGAGGAGCTGAACCTGGAGACAGAGGCATGGGGAAGGAGAGCATTACTGGTGGTCAGGTGACCTGGATTCAAGTTCTGCTCTGCTCATTGTGTGATCAAGAGCAAGTTAATTCAGTTCTCTGAGCCTCAAGTGTCTGGCCCCCTTCAGAATGGGCATAACAACTCTTGTTCTCTGCAACAAGTTCATGGGTTTGTTGTAAGGAAAATGCTTTATAAAGAATTATGTAAATGTCAGTGATTATTATGGTCCCTTCTCTGAAATTCTGTGATTCTTTGATTCCTAAGTCTCCAGGTAAATCCCACTTAACAGCAACTTCCGGAGAGACTTTGGCAGAGATGGCTCTTCATGATTTCCCCTAAGAATAATGATAGACAGGACAAAAAGCACCAAAATTGCTGGAGATCCTCACAAGAAAATTAAAGCTCACTCCAGAAGACAATGAATGAATGGAGGAAGAGCTGGTACAAGGGGGAAAAATACGAAGAAAAGTGATCTCCCCCAAAGAGCCTGGCAATCTAAATAAATTCAAAGAAGGCTTAGTTAAATTCACAGACTACAGGTTCATAATGCATAATGGGAATTTAAGATATTTTGGAAGAGTTGTCTCCAAATTGTTGAAACTGACCTCAAAGAGACAATCGTGTCCTCCTGGCAACCTGTGCTCTGGCACCTCTACGGTGACAGAACCCAGTGTAGAGGGGCCATAGGACTGACTCCCTGGGGCCAGGCTGATGCTCCTTTTTCTTAATTGCTTCATCTGATTCTTGCTGCAATAAACAAACTAGATAATTCCCTCACTTTCCTTTGTTGTTGTCGTTCAGTCGTTTTCAGTCCTGTCCAACTCTTCATGACCCCATTTGGGGTTTTCTTGGCAAAGAGATATAGAGTGGTTTGCCGTTTCTTTCTCCAGTTCATTTTACAGATGAGAAAACTGAGACAAATGAATCTAATTGACTTGCCCAGGGTCACACAGCTAGTAAGTGTCTGAGGCCAGATTTGAACTCAGGAAGATTCATCTTCCTGACTCCAGGCCTGGCACTCTATCCACTGTGCCACCCCAGCTGTCCTTCCTAAAGAGGTGCTTTTCCAGAAGAAATCTTACAGATTAGCAGGGACGGAGAAGATTGAAGAAACCTCTCAGTAGAGAGATGGGATGGGCAAAGAGCACATAGAAACTAAGAGCAAGGAAATTACGTGCAAAGAATTACACTGGCTGTCCCCCAAACCTAGAATACATTCCCTCCTTACCTGGGCATCATAACACCCTTCCTTTCTTTCATGAAGCATCTCAGCACCACCAATGACCTGCAGCTGCTGATCCCCACACCTGTCAATGCCTTCCCTCCCAGGCTACCTTCTATTTTACTTTCTTTGTATTTATTCTGTATACACTTTCATAGGTATTTGTTGTCTCCTCCTTTAGACTCTAAGCTTCTTGAGAATAGGAACTATTTTATGCTTTGTATTTGTACCCCTTGCATAGTGTTTGGCACATAGTAGGTGTTTAATAAATATCTGTTGATTGATTGATTGAATTGCAGACTGCAAACAAATGAGATAGCCTGAATTAGCCCATCCAAATATCTATACTGGTTCAATGCCCTAGGTAATCTTGAAAACTCTCCATTTCTTGGTGTTGTATATGCATAACTTCAGATTGAGCTGGTTTTTCCAGGTAGCACTTCCTAATACAGATCCCCATCTTTGCTTAAGGGTTCTCCCCTATCTCTCTACCCAGCCAAAGTAGATCTTCCCAAGCACAGAGTCATAGGTGAGAGCAAACAGTTCCTTTCCAGGGAGAGCACTCGATGGAACCTGCTTGGAATACCACCAGAGACACCTGGACTCCTCTGGTTGGTAGCTTTGGCTTAATAGAGCTACTCTTCTTGGGAAAAACTGAAACACGGTACGGGAAGCAACGGGAGGAATGTCCCCTCCTGGCAGATGATTCTGCTGCTTGCCTCCTTTCCAGAATGTTTTACAATGTCCTGAATGCCAACTGGAAAACTGATTTACCATTTTATAGTCTATTATCTTTAATAGCCCAGAATCAACCCAAAGATGGTGATTGGTTAATTGTTCTGCTCAGTTCCCAAGAGCTCAGTGCAAACAGGAAAATGTCCAAGCAAGGAGAATCTGGCCATAGAGAGGAACCAATCTTCTTTCTGACTCCCTGCACAAACCACAGCCTGCATCTTATGTCCACTTGCTGTTAACCCTTTACACTGTATTTGGGGCCATTTAGCCTCATATACAATCAAAATGATTCTTAAGCCTATGTGCTACAAAAATAATCAGAGGATATGTTCAAAGTACATTCTGAGACTCACTTAAAGCAAAGAAACTCACATTCCCTATGCAGAAACTGATTGTGTATGTGGGGCAGCTAGGTGGTACAATGGAAACAGCACTGTCCCTATAGTCAGGAGGACTTGAGTTCAAGTCTGGCCTCAGATATATATACTAGCTGTGTGACCCCAGCAAATCCTGATTGGAGACGGAGAGAGAGATTGGTTGTGGTCCAGACCTGTGATTCCATTGGAATTAAGGAATTAACTCTTGGTGAGGAAACTCCTACTTGTAATGCAGATTGACAACTATTCTTTACCTAATAGCCTTAGAAAGTTGCCTGATACACTGAAAAGTTAATTGACTTGCAGAGGGTCACACAACCAAAGGGCGATAAAAAATGGGGCTGGAATGCAGGGGTTCCTGATTCCAAGACCAGCTCTCTATCCCTGGCCACTCTCTGCAGAACCTGATTATCTTAAAGTCCTGTAGATTATGTGTAGCTACTCAGAGAGTCACAGAATGTCAAAGTCAGAATGAGCATCTGTCCAACTCCCTCAGCATACACAGCAAGTTAGTGGGAGAAGTAGGATTAGAATCCAGGTCCACCGAATTATTTTACTACATCATGTAGAATTTCCTTTTTTCACTTCTTAATTGGAATCTTGGCTGGCTATGAATTGAGAGGAATTCATGGTAGAATATGAAGGGGGATGAACATTTAAGTAAGTTCATAAGTAAAGGAGCTGTGAAAGGAAGATGGTGGGATAATGGGAATTAAGATGTAGCTCATTCTGTCTGTATTTTAGAACTAAGTATATAAATAAGGTTTGAGGATTGTTAGTCTTATTTGTGGGCATGTAGGTGGCACCATTGCACCTGGAGTCAAGAAGACTCATCTCCACAATTTCAAATCTGGCCTCAGACACTTACTAGCTATGTGACTGTGGGCACCTAACCCCGTTTGCCTCAGTTTCCTCATCTGCAAAATGAACTAGAGAAGGAAATAGCAAACCACTTCAATATCTCTGCCAAGAAAATCCCAAATGGAGTCATGAAGAGTTGGACATGACTGAAATGACTAAACAAGAAGGAGTCTTATTTTGGTGTTATTCATAGCTCTTCTCCCCACTTCTGTAAAAAAGCAGAAGTTCACACAT